CCTACCCTAAGCCCCCCCAATACTAACCCTAAGCCCCCCAATACTAACCCTAAGCCTACCCTAAGCCCCCCCCACGACCACCCTAATACCCTAACCCCCCCCCCGGCCCCCTAATAATAACCCTAACACCCCCGCCCCCCAATACTAACCCAGCCCCCCAATACTAACCCTAAGCCCCCCCAATACTAACCCTAACCCCCCCCCCCCCCCCTAATACTAACCTACCCTAAGCCCCCCAATACTAACCCTAACCCCACCCCCCCCCCCCCCACCCCCTAATACTAACCCTACCCTAACCCCCCCCCAATACTAACCCTAAGCCCCGACCCCCCGGGGGGAGAGAATACTAACCCTAACCTAATGTGCTGCGTGTCACTTCTGTTTCCTCTGCAGATATTTTCCGGAACCAGCAGCTGCTGAAGGAATACAAAGACTTCTGGGAAACACCAAGGTGAGCGCTTCTTCGCTTCTCCTGACCACGCCACGCCGTTCCTCCTGACCACGCCACGCCGTTCCTCCTGACCCACGCCGTTCCTCCTGACCACGCCACGCCGTTCCTCCTGACCACGCCACGCCGTTCCTCCTGACCACGCCACGCCGTTCCTCCTGACCACGCCGTTCCTCCTGACCACGCCACGCCGTTCCTCCTGACCACGCCACGCCGTTCCTCCTGACCACGCCACGCCGTTCCTCCTGACCACGCCACGCCGTTCCTCCTGACCACGACACGCCGTTCCTCCTGACCACGACACGCCGTTCCTCCTGACCACGCCACGCCGTTCCTCCAGACCACGCCACGCCGTTCCTCCTGACCACGCCGTTCCTCCTGACCACGCCACGCCGTTCCTCCAGACCACGCCACGCCGTTCCTCCTGACCACGCCACGCCGTTCCTCCGACCACGCCACGCCGTTCCTCCTGACCACGCCACGCCGTTCCTCCTGACCACGCCACGCCGTTCCTCCTGGACCACGCCACGCCGTTCCTCCTGACCACGCCACGCCGTTCCTCCTGACACGACACGCCGTTCCTCCTGACCACGACACGCCGTTCCTCCTGACCACGACACGCCGTTCCTCCTGACCACGCCGTTCCTCCTGACCACCCACGCCGTTCTCCTGACCAACGACACGCCGTTCCTTCCTGACCACGCCGTTCCTCCTGACCACGCCACGCCGTTCCTCCTGACCACGACACGCCTTCCTCCTGACCACGCCACGCCGTTCCTCCTGCACCACGCCACGCCGTTCCTCCTGACCACGCACACGCCGTTCCTCCTGACCACGACCACGCCGTTCCTCCTGACCACACACGCCGTTCCTCCTGACCACGCCACGCCGTTCCTCCAGACCACGACACGCCGTTCCTCCTGACCACGCCACGCCGTTCCTCCTGACCACGACACGCCGTTCCTCCAGGACCACGCCGTTCCCCCTGACCACGCCACGCCGTTCCTCCTGACCACGACACGCCGTCCTCCAGACCACGCCGTTCCTCCTGACCACGCCACGCCGTTCCTCCTGACCACGACCGCCGTTCCTCCTGACCAGCCACGCCGTTCCTCCTGACCACGCCACGCCGTTCCTCCTGACCACGCCACGCCGTTCCTCCTGACCACGCCACGCCGTTCCTCCTGACCACGCCACGCCGTTCCTCCTGACCACGCCGTTCCTCCTGACCACGCCACGCCGTTCCTCCTGACCACGCCACGCCGTTCCTCCAGACCACGACACGCCGTTCCTCCTGACCACGCCACGCCGTTCCTCCTGACCACGCCGTTCCTCCTGACCACGCCACGCCGTTCCTCCTGACCACGCCACGCCGTTCCTCCTGACCACGCCACGCCGTTCCTCCAGACCACGCCGTTCCTCCTGACCACGCCACGCCGTTCCTCCTGACCACGCCACGCCGTTCCTCCTGACCCACGCCGTTCCCCTGACCACGCCACGCCGTTCCTCCTGACCACGCCACGCCGTTCTCCTGACCACGCGTTCCTCCTGACCACGCCGTTCCCCTGACCACGCCACGCCGTTCCTCCTGACCACGCCGTTCCTCCTGACCACGCCACGCCGTTCCTCCTGACCACGCCACGCCGTTCCTCCTGAGACGTTTTTCCTTCATGACGAGTTCAGAGGATCTTGAAGTCGTGATGTGTCTTCATGGCGCCCCCCCCCCCCCCCCCCCCCCCCTTATGGTTACAGAGTTAAGATTTTTTTCCACACTTAATTTTGTCCACCTTCAAAATAAAAGCACCGCATGTTAAGATGTTTACAAGGATAAACGGGGGGCGCCAGATGGCCTTGCGGTTATGTCTCATGCCCCTTGTACGGAGGCTGTAGTCCTCGTTGGAGTGCAGAGAAGTAAATATTTAATGGACACTCCCCCTGATATCTTACGCTGGCGTGCTGTTGGGACACGGCGTGACACTGCGCTGCACGTCCTGGTGAATTCTTTACTGGATGTAAAGCGTCACCATGCAGCATCAGTAACTGAAAACAAAGTGACATCTGACTGTTGGAAATTCTTTTTCAGACTCTAATAAAAACGTTCTTTTCTTTTTCTCCCTGAAGCCTCGATCAGGGCAGAGGGCGACTTTTCTCCAGGGTCCGGGGAAGGTGGTGATGGTCGCTATCTGCATGTAAGGCTTCCCCCTCCCTCATCTTCACATTAAAAAGCTGCAGCACACAGTGGGAGATGTTAGTGAACAGAGAGTCTCTCTGCAGAGATCCAGAGAGTCGATGTTCACAGTCTCACATGAGGCCGCTCTATTGGATTAGGATGATTGTGTTAGAGGACATGTGCAGTCACATGAACAGCAGAGTGTTTCCTTCAGTAACCACTCACACACGTTATCAATTAAGATCACATTGAGCATCTGAACTGAGAGTCTAGTTTAGTCTAAGATAACTCCAGAAAGACTTTTTAAACTCTCTTAAAGATAATAAAGTTTGTTTTCTCTACTCCTCACTAAGTTCAGCACTTTAATGCATCATGCTGCCACGAACACATTCACACCTTTCTAACACTCTACCTGAACATAAAAATCATTTAGATGTAGTTTGTCTGTATCTTTGCTTATGTTTTGATATTTTGTCCGTTTTATTTTATTTATTATTTTGTCTATTTGTTCTCGCTTTAGTTGTCATGTCGATATATTCTTGTTTCATTTTGTTCACCTTATCACCAATAAAAATAAAAAGTTGATAAAGTTGAAAATGTTTCACCTGATTATTTTCTTGGTCTTCAGCAACGGGCTGAACTTCTTCTTCAAGCTGCTGGCGTGGGTCTACACGGGCTCAGCCAGCATGTTCTCAGAGGCCATCCACTCTCTGGCCGACACCTGCAACCAGGCTCTGCTCGCACTCGGGATCAGCCAGTCGGTGCGCAACCCTGACGCCGTGCACCCGTAAGAACCACCTCCACACACACACACACACACACACACACACACACACACATCAGTGTTTAATGTGCAGCTTGATGTCTGTAAACACACAGAAGAAGAAGAAGACTCGTCTGTAAACAAAACTCTGAAGTCGTTTCACACGACTCCTGAACATTTCAGGCTCCTGAGATTCTCCTGACCTGGTTGTGTTCACACATGAAGCTCCTCCCCCTTTCAGGAGTTTATTAAAGAGTTTAGTGTGAAAGCAGCTTTTTTTTTTGGTCAGGGTCTTTTTATTTTCATTTTCAACATTATATCACAGGAACAAAATGACCAACAGAACAGAGAAAAACAACAAAAAAAAGGAAAACCCCCCCCCCCCGAAACCAGACACACATCAACATTGTACATAGCCAGATATTCATAAAAGGTGAATAAATAATACATATAGAAATAAATCACAGACGAAAACAAAAGGTCCCATTATGCTTTGTTGTCAGCCTCCATCTCCACAGAGATTAAGAAAGCTTGTCAGATATTATGAAGTGTCATAATAGACCCTCTGATAGTGTGTCTCATTTTCTCTAATTTAAGATGACTTCTTTGATCCAATGACTATATGTCGGTGGGTTAGGGTCTTTCCATTTAAACAGTTTCAGTCTCCTGGCTAGCAGAGTAGAAAAGGCCAGCATGTTGATTTCAGAGGGGCGTCTACAGGGGCCACACCAAAGAGTGAAATAAATGGAGATGTTTGAACTGTTTTCCTAAATATCTTAGAGAAAGTGTGAAGCAGCTTTGAATCTGTTTCCAGGTACGGCTTCTCCAACATGCGCTACATCGCCTCGCTCATCAGCGGCGTGGGGATCTTCATGATGGGAGCTGGCCTCTCCTGGTACCATGGCATCATGGGATTGCTGCACCCTGAACCCATGGAGTCTCTGTTGTGGGTGAGTGTGCGTCGCCTCCTTTCTGTAACTCAGGTGGTGTTTAAAGGTCGATGCTGATTGGCCGTGTGCTCTCTCTCAGGCGTACTGTATTCTAGCGGGCTCTCTGGTGTCTGAAGGAGGTGAGTTACTTAACATCTCTGATTTTAAACTAATAGTTTCATCGTTTCTAAACGTTCTTCTTCTCTCTCAGCCACGCTACTCGTAGCCATCAACGAGATCAAGAAGAGCGCCCGGCAGCAGGAAGTGTCTTTTTATGAATACGGTATGAACTGAAGCGGGACGCCTGATTGGACGCAGAAACCTTCCCCTGAAGCGTTCAGTCATGATCATGCCTTTCATTGTTTGGTGTTTCACAGTGATGCAGAGTCGAGACCCCAGCACCAACGTGGTGCTGCTGGAGGACGCCGCCGCCGTGTTAGGAGTTATCATGGCGGCCGGGTGCATGGGCTCACCTCTCTCACAGGTAAGGTCACCGCTTCCATCGCTGCAACACCTGTTGACCTGATAACTGCTCTCATATCTGACAAACCGAGGGCGTGTGTGTGTGTTCAGGTAAACCTCACTACGACAGTCTGGGCTCTCTGGGCGTCGGCACCCTGCTGGGCTGCGTCTCCGCCTTCCTCATCTACTCCAACACGGAGGCTCTGCTGGACGCTCCATCCAGCCCGAGCGTGTGCAGAAGCTGACGGATTCCTGGAGAACGACCCCGCTGTAAGGTCAGAGAACGACCGCTGTAAGGTCACAGAACGACCCCGCTGTAAGATCAGAGAACGACCCGCGTAATCAGAGAACGACCCCGCTGTAAGGTCACAGAACGACCCCGCTGTAAGATCAGAGAACGACCCCGCTGTAAGGTCGGAGAACGACCCCGCTGTAAGATCAGAGAACGACCCCGCTGTAAGATCAGGAGAACGACCCCGCTGTAAGTCGGAGAACGACCCCGCTGTAAGATCAGAGAACGACCCCGCTGTAAGTCAGAGAACGACCCGCGTAAGATCGGAGAACGACCCCGCTGTAAGGTCAGAGAACGACCCCGCTGTAAGATCAGAGAACGACCCCGCTGTAAGATCGGAGAACGACCCCGCTGTAAGGTCACAGAACGAGCCCGCTGTAAGTCGGAGAACGACCCCGCTGTAAGGTCAGAGAACGACCCCGCTGTAAGGTCACAGAACGACCCCGCTGTAAGGTCACAGAACGACCCGCTGTAAGATCGGAGAACGACCCCGCTGTAAGGTCACAGAACGACCCGCTGTAAGGTCAGAGAACGACCCCGCTGTAAGATCGGAGAACGACCCCGCTGTAAGATCAGAGAACGACCCCGCTGTAAGATCGGAGAACGACCCCGCTGTAAGGTCGGAGAACGACCCGCTGTAAGTCGGAGAACGACCCCGCTGTAAGGTCGGAGAAACGACCCCGCTGTAAGGTCACAGAACGACCCCGCTGTAAGGTCAGAGAACGAGCCCGCTGTAAGTCGGAGAACGCCCGCTGTAAGATCGGAGAACGACCCCGCTGTAAGATCGGAGAACGACCCCGCTGTAAGGTCACGGAGAACGAGCCCGCTGTAAGGTCACAGAACGACCCCGCTGTAAGGTCAGAGAACGAGCCCGCTGTAAGGTCACAGAACGAGCCCGCTGTAAGGTCACAGAACGACCCCGCTGTAAGGTCGGAGAACGACCCCGCTGTAAGGTCACAGAACGACCCCGCTGTAAGGTCACAGAACGACCCCGCTGTAAGGTCACAGAACGACCCCGCTGTAAGGTCGGAGAACGACCCCGCTGTAAGGTCAGAGAACGACCCCGCTGTAAGGTCACAGAACGACCCCGCTGTAAGGTCACAGAACGACCCCGCTGTAAGGTCGGAGAACGACCCCGCTGTAAGGTCACAGAACGACCCCGCTGTAAGGTCACAGAACGACCCCGCTGTAAGGTCAGAGAACGACCCCGCTGTAAGGTCAGAGAACGACCCCGCTGTAAGGTCAGAGAACGACCCCGCTGTAAGGTCAGAGAACGACCCCGCTGTAAGGTCGGAGAACGACCCCGCTGTAAGGTCGGAGAACGACCCCGCTGTAAGGTCACAGAACGACCCCGCTGTAAGGTCAGAGAACGACCCCGCTGTAAGGTCGGAGAACGACCCCGCTGTAAGATCGGAGAACGACCCCGCTGTAAGGTCGGAGAACGACCCCGCTGTAAGGTCAGAACGACCCCCTGTAAGTCGGAGAACGACCCCGCTGTAAGGTCACAGAACGACCCCGCTGTAAGGTCAGAGAACGACCCCGCTGTAAGGTCAGAGAACGACCCCGCTGTAAGGTCGGAGAACGACCCCGCTGTAAGATCGGAGAACGACCCCGCTGTAAGGTCGGAGAACGACCCCGCTGTAAGGTCGGAGAACGACCCCGCTGTAAGGTCGGAGAACGACCCCGCTGTAAGGTCAGAGAACGACCCCGCTGTAAGATCAGAGAACGACCCCGCTGTAAGGTCGGAGAACGACCCCGCTGTAAGGTCGGAGAACGACCCCGCTGTAAGGTCGGAGAACGACCCCGCTGTAAGGTCGGAGAACGACCCCGCTGTAAGGTCACAGAACGACCCCGCTGTAAGGTCAGAGAACGACCCCAGGAATCTGAACGCCTCGGTCACGTTTCCACGACGATGCGTTCATGCGTGGAATTGTAACGTTTATTAAACTAGAGTTCAAACTTTTGAAAACGTTTCTCTCAGTGTAAACTACAGATACGCCGCACATGCTCAGTGCGCCTCCAGTCTGCG